GCCGCCTTGTTTAGTGTTACCAAGGCTCTGAGGTTAAAGGGCATGTGAAAGGCAGATAGGAAAGTCATACTTGGCCAAGAACACCACACTTAGCATGCAGTAGATATTTCATGAATGTTCACTAAAATGAATTTAATGATTTTATATATTAAGCAAAAATGTCCTCTAATTGGGGACAATGACAGCTCTATGCCCTCACACAGTGAAACAGGCAAAATTTGAGATTCTATCTCAATCATTCAAGACTTATGGTATGATCTTTTAAACTGGCTTTTTAAAGCCCTTTTAAGGTGGCTACAAAATAAATGGCTACATGTAACCAGGCCTGTTTTAACATTATTAATTCACCCTTCTCTGAAAGGAATTCAGTGCTGTAAACTGACACTGAGACGTGACATCTAAATAGACAGTATTACCATGCCAGAGTAAATAGTAAATCACATTATCTGACAATCCTTGGGGAATGGCCTTGCAATGTCAAGACCACGGAAAAATGATGTGAAATCAAGTTCACAGAAATTTGACTTAGATGTTCAAAAAAAATTAATCTCTCTCGTTGAATGTGTATACAGGGAAGGGATTACGACAGCAAAATGATTACACAACAATGGCAAGGACGTGTCTATGAAAAAGACAAAGGTTAAAATGAAAAGGCCTTAATTCTGCATTTCACTGTGTGACAATATTCACGTTTCCCTTCAGCGAGCCATGTCCAGACTTCCTACATGCTACATACTGTGTGAGATGCTGGGATACAAGGCAAAAGAGGGATGTATGGGTCTTGTCATCTAGGGGCTCCCGGTCGAGGAGTGACGGCTGTGACAAAAGCAGGAGTGAGTCATCCTCCCATGGGGGCTCTTGACACTTGCCTGGAAGTGGAAGGAGCTCTTAGTGGTGGTGTGTGGAGGGGGCAAGAGCAATCTAGCACAGGCTTGGTGGTGAGAAAAAAGTAACATGCTCAAAGACCAATACATAATTAGTATGCTGGAGCGCAAGGCAACCAAGCAAGTGGCAAGAGACATGATGGAAGGGCAGGGCAGGGTCAGATCTAAAAGGATCAGACTTCAAAGGAGGGGCAAATAGATTAAGAATTGTGTTACAGGTCTCACAGAGAGCAGACGGGAGTCAAGGCCAGATCTAGGCAACACTGAAGCCATGCCATGTCTCATAAGCACACCATGTCCCTCAGATTAGAGGGACAGGATTGTAATGCTGCATTTTCAAGGCAAAAATAGATCCCAGACCTCCAGTTTGATTTGGATCATCCTGCTGAGGTGGAGGGAGGGGGACCTTGGTCAAGACCACATTCTGCACATTATTCCACATGTTTCACGTAGCTTGCTCAAAGACCTCAGTGCGGGTCCATCCAAGGCAGGCCCGGGTCAATCACTGGAGCTGGTGCTGGGACTTGGTCACCTCTTAGCAAGGCTCAACCACACCCCTGTCTTATCATGCACATACAAGACACACAGGGGCACCTGCCGTCTCCTACATAAAGGCAGCCTGTTCAGGATGTTAACATGCACCTGCAGCTGCTCCATGGACCCCGGTTTAGTAGTCATAGCTGTCACAGGCTAATGCAACCTGACAGATAATACGGGGTGGGAAGCCCATCATTACCTAGTGACTCATGGCTCAGCAAATCCAGTGTCCTCCCAAAACACGTGACTGAAAACAAAATGATGCCTCTCCTAAGAATCTTTTTTTCTGTTTTTCCACTTCTCCCACATACAAAGAGGATCAGATGAACAGCCTGCTCAGCCTCCCCGCCGACCCCTGCCCAATGGCCCCAGTCACATAGGACAGAGCTTACTGTCTCCATGTCTCTTGTTCTTCTCACTGAGTGCTTCCAACTCCTGTGCCCCCATCATCCTGAAACATGGTCTCAGGCTGCTGTCTGTCTACTCTGTCAATAACACCTGCAGCAGGCAAGGACTAGCCAGACGACTCAACACCTTCACATTGTGGAAAAATAGAGTTCCAAACCTCTTTCTGCTAGGGGACATCACTATTGCCCAGGAAGAGGAAGCACGATAGAGAGTGTATTTAAGGAAGAGACCTGCACCCAGCAAGGTAAGAATACACTTACTAAACAAGGCACCTGGAGGTCTGGAGAAATGAAGGTATGTCCAGTGTTCTTCTCCCACAGGGGGACAGCGTCCGGCAATTGTGTGCTCCCTACATGGTCTTACTGTTCATGCAGCTTCACAGTCTAAGGTGTCAAATACTCTGCTCTCACGACGTCCCAAGGAAGCCCTAATTTCCAGTGGGAACACAGCCATACTGTGGCCTGTCAGGAAGCCTATGTCATTTCAATTTCAGTTTCTTTCACACTGAAATGACGGCAGCTGCTGACTATTACTGCACTGAGAGTTACTTAAATTCACTAACATAGCGACTCCAGTGAAATGTACCCACACTGCCAAGTGCACAGGACAATGTGACTCATGGGTGACTTTTACCTCCAGCCCTGCTATGTTGGCAGCCCCCATGATACCATGATGACTTTCCAGCCATACGCTGCCTGCCTCCCTGCACGTGGAAATGGAGGGACTTGGGGAGATCAGCAATGGGCCCTCTGACGGTAAAACGTGTTCAGAGGCCAGAAGTGGTGCCAAGTGGAAGGAGTGTTACAAGGCCTCTGTGGTGCTCTGAGCTTTTCTTGCTTCTCCCAGAGACCACGGCACAGCGCTAAGCCACGCTCCATGGGCTGAGCCAGGAAAGATGCGACGGAAGAGTCCCCTTGGAACAGGATCCTGCCAGCTGCCTGGAAGCTGCCTGATTCCTCCGCTGGCAGAGAAGCCTTTTCTGAAATGGTAAAGACCTCGAGGCCATTGTTCTGTCCTGGGGCAGCACATCCCGATTGGGCCAAGTAGAAAGGAGGCAGAGTGCTCAGATAAGAAAAGGGGCATGCTGGCATTCTTAGAAGACACTTGCTTGGTCACTAGCCATGGTGAGTCTTTTGTCATGTTCCACCTGCTCCCCCTGCTGTCACCCCCCACCCCATGTCCCGGTTGTCTCTTGAGGAAGAATGTGATCCTGCCTCTCTTTGTTCTTATGACTCTGCTGTTGCTTTGTTTCACTGATTCTTTTATCCTCTAAACACTTCCTGGAGGCCAAAATGTTTACTAAATAGATATAAATTTGAATTTCAAATCCCTCTTGTGTTGGGAGTCTAAAAAAAAAAAATGGTGGTAACATGCAGGAGATATGCTCAGAGAAGAAGAATGAAATCAAGGAGCCAACACCACTGGAAGAGAATCAGATGGAAGATTGACACTTGAAGGGAGTTTAGAAAGATACAGGTGGGAAACTCACGTATTTTAATATTTGAAATATAGGTGTAAAAAAAGCCCAATTCTGATGTAGGGCAATTTAGGGAGAAAAACTTATGCCAAAGAGTTTCTCTGCCTAAAAAGACCACAGAACCATAAAATGAAGGGGAAAAGAACTCTGAGCCCCTGCTTCAAGGAAGGGTGGTGCTGAAAGACTGTTTCCTTCAGATGCATTAGGAAGCAGAGACACCCTGTCTAAAATTTACCTAGTGCTACACAAACAGAATCATCAATAACCCCTTACTGAAATCGTGTTGAGAACACAAATCAAGATCTATTTCTGGAAAAGAGCAAAAAGGAATGAAAGTAGAGATGAAGCTCCCTAAGGAGAGGTTGAGCTTTCCTCTGAGGAAGTGCAGACTTCCTGGTAACTGTGCATCTGTCTGTGCAGAGCCTTTCTTATGCTTGGATGATCTTTCCAGAACAATCATAAAGTGGCAGACCATCAAACTGTCCATCAGAAGTTAGCTCAGCATGCAATTCTGACCATCCAATGAGACCCAGCTCTGAATTATGCAGAGTCAAAACCTGGCTGAACATTAAAGATGGACATTTGGAAAAAAAGTTGTCTATATACACATCAAATGGCAAAGCTATTCACTTGGGGTTGACCCACTACCATAGGATTCATTCTTAATGAAGGCTGGGGATGGACAGGAGAAAGCTAAAGATCTGGGGAGTAGAGAAAGCCAATGAAAAGGGTGGAGAGGGTACTTGTAACTTTATATAATACAAATAACTGCAAGATGGTTACATGTCCAGAATTAGGTCTTCTCTGCATCTTTCTGAAAGAAATCACCTTTGGATTTAAACAAATGTAGCTCTGAAACTTAAGTCTCCGTGTTACCACTGTTTTACAGGAGTGAAGACTATAACTTAGAAGTTATTAAAAATATCTTAGAATGTATTAAACAACAACAATATTTTATATTAGCTTCTGAGCAACAATGCCCATTCCTGTGATCCTTGTGTTTCCTAGGGTTTTCCACTCTTCTCCTACTCAAGACTTCAACCTTCATCCAAGGTACACGTACATATTCCTCCATGAACTCAATTCAAAAGATAAAAGAAGAGAGTGGTTTTTCTTTTCTTTCTTTTTGCTAGTAATGCGACCAGCTGTCACAAAAACTTCATTATACTCCCCAAGTGAAACCAAGAAGCTAGGTCAAGAAAGGGAATGCAGATCTGTTTACAAGTAAAAGGCTACATTTGAAAGGAGGGAGGTGACATAGCAAACCAAGGTGCAAAGAACACATAGCCATTTCTGTGGCTGGCTCTAGTAAACCAAACCAAGTTACCCGTGAATTTGAATTTCTAGTTAAGCTTTCGTGCTGCCTTGATCAATTAGCTGGTGTACATCATCGAGCTCTCATAGGTTTTCTTTAGTGTTGGTATTTTCCAGAGAATTCATTTTCTATAAGGTGTACGGTTGTTTGCCACAGGAGAAAGCTAGAAATGTTTAAAAAGCTACTTCCATGGGACACATAGGAATTTGATTAATCTTTCCTCTTATTTTGGGCAGATATGCTGAGCGTGTTTACCTTAGATCTAATTTCGGATTTTACTCTATTTCAGCCTACTTTCTTTTCCAGTTATAGTTCTATCTGGAGGTTTCCGAGCTTTCAGTTTTAGAACAGGGTCAAAGTCCACTTTACCACACTTTACCTTTGATGGCCGGAAAGAGAAGGCTGTGGACTTGGTGTCTGACTTCCCCCGGTCTTGCAGGAGTAGGCCTTGGTCCTCTGTCAAGGCCAGGTAATGGCCTGTGGTGAGATGCCGGAGTCGGAAAGCCTGGCCCCATCTGATGTTACTGCCACTCCAGCTGGGCAGACGAAACAGACAAAAGATTGCATTTATACAAAAATAAGTTCTTTTCAATATTCGTCTTGTGCCTTCTTACACATGCTAGCAGACTTGTGACCCTTCTAGTGGTCATCCTTAGGGGACAAAGCACCTGTCTTCTGGCTTGCTCTAGGATTTCACTTCTGCCTATAACCCTGTGCTGTCTCAGGCTCCTCTCAGGACCCCAATAAAGAGCATAATCTTGAGGACAGGTCAACAGTGTGATATAACTGGAAGTCCCAAGGTTCCACTTTTTCCTTCGCTCCACTGAAGTGTCTTGATGCAAGTAACCCCAAAACGGATAGGAAGCTTGTCTTTTAATGAAAACTTGTTTCTGGGAAAGCAAAGTCTTTCCAAATGTGCCATCTGAACTCAAATATTTTACTACCACAGAGCTCTATCTTTGAGAAATAGTAAAAACACCCGTGTAGCTCACACTTGCCACAGAGAGGCAGACAACTAACAAGCGTAATAAGTAAATACTGTGTTATGTCAGAAGGAGATAAATTCTATGGAAAAGAAAAGCAGGATGAGTAGATTGAGATAAGGAAGATCCTGTGTTGAATGCCAACCTTTTTGTGGCCCTTCATCAAAAGATTAGTGTTCAACAAAAGTTATGGTAGAAATTATTCACCGAATCATCTGTAACTCAAAGTTGATCTTTTAAGTTAGAATAAAATGTGTCAAATTTTAAAATCACTTTCCATGTTATCCAACTTTCTGGAGCACCAATGAATCCAAATTACATTGATAAAAGGCTTAAATTCTTCGTGTGTGGTCTCTGAAGAAATGAACAAACCATAACTAGAACTATATACACATACCACATACCTATTATATTTTGACTTTTTTTGACTTTTAAAAAGCCCATTAAGCAAGAAAGCCAGAATTAATATCCCAAGAATAGTATATTACCGTTAGATTTTAAACAGGGCTGGAAAGAGAATGCAAATGCCTCGAGACAGTTAATAACTGGGTACTCCTTGAAACCAATATTCTTTAAAACTGCGGTCTTCAGTTTCTCAGTAAAAAATGTGAATGCATGTGTGTGTGTGATGTGAGAGAAGTTCTAATATTTTCTTCTGCTTTCCAGTGAATTATCTTGAGGCTCCCCTTGGGGCATACACCCCTCATGAGAAAGATTTTTACGTTAATTACGTATTCAGGGAGAGACTAAGCAGAAAGCTGGAGGGAAAGCCAGAAAAGCAAAGCCAGAGGTCGACATTTAACCCTCCTCTCTCATCCCATGCAGTGTAGCTCTAGCCTAACTCGCAAACCCTCTCAGCCAAAAAAGGTCCTGTGCTTCACTGGGTCCCCCTTCAGTAATTTGAAGTTTAGCAACCACATGTGGTTACTGTAGCTTCTGGCTGGGAAGTCACCTGCTTCCCAGGTATTGTACCTTCTACCGAGGTGCAATATTGTCTCTGGAAAGTCCTGGTAATACTGTTTTCTTCACAGCCACATTTCCAGGGAAGTTTTAGTCTTCTTTACCCCATGCCATCAGAGACTACCTGTCTGTGTCACATAAAGCTAACTCCACTGGCACCAACAAGGCTACTGAGAAGAGAGAGAAGACTTATCTGGGTTCCAGAGAATCTGTTTAAGAAAACGAACGGGAGGAGAACTTTGATGGCTCTCTGCAGCCACGTCTAAGCTTGACATTTATAACTCAGCCACTGCAAGGGCAGCAGAGCTGACTAGCCTCAGAGTCAAAACAGCAATCTCAGAAATCCTGTGTGTGTGTGTCTCTCTGTGTGTGCTATTCTTTAAAAACAAAGTCACAGAAATTTCGGGACTTTGGACCAAAGCCTTTTGAGAGTTCGCCAGGTGATGAGGAACAAATGAAATGTTTAAGAGGATGGACTGTACTGGGGATAAAAAAAAAAAAAAAGTAATTTTGAAAACAGCCCCACCCCAGACCCTCCATTACCTTATCCGAAGGGGTTCCACTCTCCACAGAGACCTGGCTCGTGTCCCAGCTCCCCCAGCTTCATAGAATATTCTCCTGTGAGCAGAGTTGGAGATCAGCTCCTACGTGCATGACACGGATCAGCACCCGGTGAGGAACAGCTCCCTGCAGAGGCTGCTCAGCCCCTGCTGCTCATCTAAGCACTCCAAGTCAGCAGGATGCCAAGCAAGAGTGAAAGGGAGGTAGGGTTTTCCAGTGGCACTCTCAGGAGGGACAAAAGCTGCTAAAGGGGAGGGAGCAGTTCACCCCTATGGTAGACACTCATGGATCTCAGGTGTATGATGAAAAGGCAGGGACAAGACCATCTCCGTTTCTATATCAGGAGTCAAAATAGCCCAGTTACACACCATGACACAGAAGGCTCCAATTCTTTCAGGGTAAGCTCCTTGAAGTAGCAGTGTATCTTTTAAAAATGTACTTGTACTTTTAAAATACATATTCAATACCATGTTAACTCATTTTCATTGTTCTAGGATACTTAGAACAAAGCTTTATGTTCAGTTGTTGGAGTGTCTGTGATTTTATTACTATACCATTGCCTCCTTTTCTGAGTTCAAAAATCAGTTTTAATGTGTTTTTAGATACAATTTTTGTTTTGGAAAAATTTTAAGTTTATAAAAAAGTTACAAAGATAGTCCAGAAAGCTCCTGTATAGTCTCACTCAGTTTTCCCTCATGTTATCATCTTTTTTTTTTTTTTTTTTTTGAGACAAAGTCTCACTTTGTTGCCCAGGCTAGAGTGAGTGCCGTGGCGTCAGCCTAGCTCACAGCAACCTCAAACTCCTGGGCTCAAGCAATCCTTCTGCCTCAGAGTCCCGAGTAGCTGGGACTACAGGCATGCGCCACCATGCCCAGCTAATTTTTTCTGTATATTTTTAGTTGTTTGATTAATTTCTTTCTATTTTTTTAGTAGAGACGGGGTCTCACTCTTGCTCAGGCTGGTCTCGAACTCCTGAGCTCAAACAATCCACCCACCTCGGCCTCCTAGAGAGCTAGGATTACAGGCATGAGCCACCACGCCCGGCCAGTTTTCCCTCATGTTATCATCTTACATTACCGTGGTACATTTGTCAAAACTGAGAAACCAACATTGGTATGTCATTACTAGCTAAATTCAAGACTTTATTTGGATTTCATCTGAATTTTTCACTGAAGTGTTTTTCCTGTTCCAGGATCCAATCCAAGATACTACATTGCATTTAGCTGTCATGTCTCCTCTGTTTCCTCTGATCTGTTACAATTTCCCAGTCTTTCCTTGCTTCTCATTTTAACAGTTTTAAGGAGGACTGGTCAGGTATTTTGTGAAATGTCCCTCAATTTGGATTTGTCTGATGTTTTTTCTAGTAATTAGCAAAATCTCAGTTTTTTACAATGGGGATCAACCACCCTAGATCACAAGTTATATAGAATTAAACAAACTATCATAGTTTAGGAAATGTCCCAAGAAGAATGATCCTCAGATTGCCTGGTATATTGAATCCGGCCACTTTGAGAATCTTGTGACCATCAATCAAGACTGATAGTTTAACTGCATTTATATTCACTAATTTAAAATCTTACCTCCAACCATAGAGGATTTGTATATATTACAATTGCAGTGCTCAAGCCCCACAAGTATCTGGATCTAGACTTTGAATACAGTAGGTACTTTATAGAGGTGAAGAGGAAATGTGCATGTGCATCTAATTAAAATTACAAGTTGGTTCAAAATATGAGCTTGGAAGTCGGAAAGACCTGAGTTTGAATCTGTTAGCTGTGTGACCGTGGGCAAGGCCCTTCAACTCCCTGCGCCTCAGCTTCTTCATCTGTAAAATGGGTCTACTAAGAGTAGGTATATTACAAAATGGTTGTGAGAATTTAATGGGTTTTTTTTAAAGTAATCAGTGTGTACAATGGTGTTCAGAGATGTACAAACTACTATATATTGTAGATTTACCAAATATTGTTCAAATATAAATAAACATGCCTAGGAAAACACACTAATGGCACAGAAATAGTATGAAACATTACATTAACAGTGGTTACTTCTGGGAGGTGGGATTATAGAGGACATTTCTAAACCTTTTTCAAATGTACATGTTATCAGGAGATAATAAATATTAGGAAAAAAAAATCCTGCATACTTTAGAGTTCTGACAGCTCAGGTGTCTCTGTACCAGGTACTGCACTGATGACCTAGCCACTCAAGAAGATTTGCAGAGATTATCACCGATGCTTCTCCCCCTTCAGCAAGGGCTGGAAGGATCGCTCAGGTGGGGAGGGTGAAGCGGCTCACCTGAGGTCACAGGTGAAACAGCACTGGAGCTGGCACTAGAGGACTCTCTACCTCTGACATCTGAAGGATTCCTGATGGTTTGTTCTTCCCACCTGGGACATTTGGGCGGCCTGCTCCAATTAATCTCACAAGGTTACTGAGGTTGAAACAACTTGTTCTCGTTCTCTAAAACAATTCCAAGGAGAGGAGTGGGTGGCAAGCTGAGTCACTTTTGAAAGCTTGGCTGACAGCTTAGCCTTAGCTTCAATAGGTTAAGTAACTTATCCCAGGGTGTCTGACAAGCCAGAGGCAAGGATCAGAGCTCAGAGTGTTAGACTGTTGATCTTGGGTTTCCACACTGGGACAGTCAGCCTCGCTGCCTGCTCCCGGGCTTTAGAGGGACTTAAAATGACTTCCTCTGGAGAGTCAGGGCCAATACAATGGCACACTTGCACGCCTTAGTGGCCTCTGGGATCTCCTGACATGATCTTTATTTCCTATTCCTCCCCCAGATTTTGGTGTTCCTGGCCATCCTAGCCAATTCCAAGGATTTACCTGACAAGAGAAGACAGTGATGAGGCTTCTCACTCACCTCACCTAGACATCGAATAACACCAAGGCATCTTGCTTTGACTGAGAGACCAGTTGGTACAGAAATTCAGGTTCCTGTGTGCTGAATAGCTGCTCACTTGCCCCAGTCTCAACCCCTTCATGTTCCCTTACAAAGGAAAGGGATACACCTTCTGATTTTTATCAGTGAATTTCTTTTTTCCAAAACATGAATTAGCGCCTATGGATTCTTCAGCTGAGGGAAGGCCACCTTTGCTCGTATTTAAGTGATGGCATGCAAGTCTGCTTCAGTGCGCCCATTTGGGGAACTTCTCTCCATCTACCTCACTCTCCCCACCACCCCCTTCCACACACTTGCCCAGCCTTTCCTTTTAAGCAGGATTTTGCTGAAGAACTTGACAGGAATACCCACTAAATGACAAGCCTCTCCAAGTAGCATAGTTTCTGCCCCAGCTATTTTTAATTTGGGTCTAATTTTAACGACAGACATGTTGGGAGGCTGCACATAGCAAATGCTTCACTTTTTCCAAATTCCTACCCTTCAAAATAGAATGGGAATGGGAAGAATGAACTAGTGAAGTTCCGGTATATCCCATTCTTAGATGTAGATAACCCTGTAAGGCTCACAACACTTTAGTTCTTTATCCACCTGCTAACCTTCCCCTTGATGCAGAATAAAAGAGGCAATACATGGGCTAATGCATAGTTTCACTGTACAAAAAGAAAGAGAAAGAAAACTGCAACTGAATAGGATCACATGATAGGGTAGGGAATCCTTAGTTCTAAAGGAAATCAGGTCAACCTAACTTTTCTACTCAGAGATAACTGTCAACCACTGGATCAGTCCCAGGGAGGCAGTGAATGAATGAACCAGGGCACTTGACATATGGGTCTGTGCTTTATGTGTCCTAGACACTGTTTTGGGTCACATCTGGTTCTCATGAAGTGGTATTTAGAGGATGAGGAAAGTAGGAAGAAACTCAAACTGTGAGAAATATCTATTGCCAATGGATGATTTCTAAGGCATGTGATAATACATTCAAGCACACTACTTCTGGGGGTCTTTTAGTACATCAAATAAGGAACGAGCCCCGATGGAGAGTCAGAAGCTCTGGCTTCCAGACTCCTATCTGAAATCAGTCAGTGTTATGATCCTTGGCAAGAGCCTGACCTACATAATCTCTAAGTTGGGAAGACCTGTGAGCCCATATTTCTAATGAAGCAAAATAAATGCAGTGGACAATGCTCCTACAGGCATCACACAAAAGGAAAGGAAAGCATTACCAGGAGATCAGACTCGCTGCTGTCCCATATTCAGTCTAATTTGGACCTGAGGTTGGATTTTTTAAATATCAGCTTTCTATAAGTTATAGGGCCAAGCTTTTTATGCTCTGCTCCTTTGATGATCGACTACTAAAGGACTCTGTAGTATGAATTTAAGACTTGGATTAGTATCTTCCATCTCACGGTTTTGAATTTTTGAAAAGCATTCATGAAGGATCAACTACAGGACCAAAGAAAGTGTCACCCTCAGCAGCACCCTCCTGGTGCTGCCCTTGGTACCACCTCCTGCTAAATCCAGCTCTCACTGGATATCGACTTGTTTTTTCCAACACTATTTGGTAACAAGCAAAACCAAATCAACAAACTCCACCATATTTACTTAGTACAAAAAATGAGGAGAATAGAGATGATCTGCCTTTGAAGAGTCTGGTGAATAATTTGTGTAAGACACAGACTCACTAGAATGATTAGCCTGATTTCCATCAACAAAGTGGATGTTTCCATCTACGATTAATGCTACCACTAACTCCTTTGATGCTGGAGCAACCAAAGCAAATGAAGGGATCAGGGAGCACTACGGAATAGCTTGCCCAAGCAGCACAGGTGTACATAGCTCTTCCCGTGAGCAAGCTCCACTGTACTGCCATTCCTATTTTACAAACTGGAACCCACGGCTGGAGGAAGGTTTGTCAATTGACCAACATGTACGGAATTCATATGTGGCCAAATATAAATGCAAACTCTTTAGTGTGAGTCATCTGAGACTGGAGACAGCTAGAAGGATGAAGCTATCGACTTACCTGTGTTGGGAATCATTCTGATCTGTAGATGGTATCGTCAAACACTCATCATGACCATGGAAGAGACGTACTACGTGCCCACCAAGTAGGTATCCTACATGAGAATTATAATACATTCTACCATGAACCGACAGCAAATTTATTAAAGAGAACAACATGTTTAAAAATGGTAAATTCATGCAGGCTTGAGCCAGTTACAGAAAACACCAATAGAGATGCATTTGGTGAACGAGGGATTCCATGAATTCAGGCCTCAGGCAGAAAAGACAAAAAATTCAAAATAATTCTAACATTGAAAGTTAAATAGGGTTTCAGAGACAAGCAAGTCCAACATCAAAAAGGTGAAAATAGTGTATATATTGATATTAAAAACCAAAAGGAAAATTATATTGTTACTACTGTTAGGAACATAAGGATTTTCCAATTGCTTAGGATGTAAATGCATCCAATACCAAATTCCTAGATAAGTTTCTACAATCTCATTGTGTATGCTTTGTGGCAAAATCCTGATTAAATTGCAGCCATAGGAAAGAAAGGTGCTGGGCTCTGGGTAGCAAATTGTTTTTAAGAGTTGTCTAAGGAGAAGCTAGCTTTTGAATGCATTTAACAAACACAGATCAAATCTGGATGCTAGTCCTACAGCACAAGGGAGAAAGCAGAATTACTCTCCAGCATCCGAGTGAACAGGATAGATACTTTTATCAACAAGCACTTAGTTTTCAGAATAAGGAATACTCAATAGTCATGGAGTTCAGAGATGGGAAGAAAACTATAAACTTCAAGGATATGATGACCCATTAGTCTTCAAATAAATCCGAGCTTTAATTCAAAGAACATAGCAGCAGGAGAAGGGCTCCAGTCTGAACTTTACCTTGCACAAAGCAATGGGATTTATTATTCCTTTGAATTAAAAAATTCCCCAGGCTAGTCTATTCTCAGGAGACACATGAGCCTAGTATACTCAATGTCTGTATCAGATTTTTTTTAAAAAAATCACATAATTAGATCACTTTAGGGGCTGTCTTAAACTATTTTGGGTGCTAGATTAAAACAGTAAGAGTGAGAAGTCACGCCAGAGGAGAAATGCGTGTTATCAGTACATCTTGAACAATGACATTCTGACATTCCTTAGTTTGTTTTTTTTTTTTTTCCACCTAGGCAAGTTTTTCTTAAATTTCCCTCAAATATTCAGAAGTCTTCTTCCAATTTTCCTGTATCTTATTGTACTAACCTTTCCAATTATATCCTTTTTGAATTAAAATTATTCATAATATACTGCAGGGGAATTCTTAACAGCCAATTTATTTAGAAAATTAAAACCCTCCATGACCAAGCTCTTGATTAAACTATCTGCTCAGGATTGTAAGGCCAGCCCCACCCGGAGTCCCTCCTTTGCAGCTCTCAGGCTCCTTCAATCAGTTTCCTCCCTCAGAGAAAACTGCCAGTGCTGGTGCATCGCAACTTTTCTTAATCGAAATATACTGGAGCCACGGTCAGGAAAGAAATACCGTGATGGAGATCACTTACGTCCTTAAGGGCTGAAGTGGGTTTCTCACCAGTGGACACTGGAAGGACATTTTCTACAGAGCAGATAACTCAGTGATGAGCTATCCGGGCTGTATTACAACAAGGGCACTCAACACTTTTATGAGGACCTTTTTGACATGATTTTCAAACAGTCCTTAATTACTCTCCACAAACCCTCGGGGACAGGAAATCATTGTATTTCTATAGTGAAAATGAAAAATTTAGCATGGAGAAGATTGAGTCAAAATTTTCTGGGAAAAGATTTAAACCCGGAGTTTCTTTTTTCCTGATAGAAAGGGAATGATTGACAATAGACTTGGGTGGGTAATTTTGGCATAAAGGAGAGGGCTAAACACATCCTGCCCTTTTAAATCCTTCCACTTGCTGCCAAAAGAGTTAAGAATTTGTCCTTTTCTGATTATTCAGTTCGGCCTGATGCCTTCTGAAACTGGGGTATCACCTTGACAGCTCTCAGTTTTTCCTCTCTTTACACACATAAAAGCGCAGAAGGGCATTCCAGTTCGAAACTACTAGACTTAAATAGGGCTGAAGTCTGTGATATGAGTATTTTTAAAAATTCTGATCTTGCTATAAAGGTAATGCAATAACCCGTAGGTCACTGACATTTGATTATTCTGCTCAGCTGTGGTATTACCTATGGGCGAGGTAAGGCCAGTACATTATGTAACTTGAAAGATGCACTGACTTTGTTTGGTTTCGTGAAATAAAATACATTTGTCGAAGTTTGATGATCTTGTTTCCAAAGGAAAAATAAAATACTGATAAAATTTCACTTATTTTTAAATGGCATTCCATAAATACAAGTAAAAACAAATTGCCAAATATACTTTCATTATTGAGAAAGTCCTTACCCCATGTCAAGAGATGAATAGGGAGAAATATAAACAATGTCACCTTCTTGGCAAATAATCACTTCTAAAAGTAAAGTTGCTGAGATCTGTACACATACAACTAGTAACCATAAATAAAAACAAAAACTCAGTGAGCAAGGGAAGGTGAGTATCCAAGTCCTGAACACATGCAGTGTTAAAATAATAATGTACTGGACTCCAAAGGATTAAAAAATTATGTCAGGCATGCTCCTGTAACCAGAAGTCAGGAAAGAAAATAATCCACACTGAATTCAGAGAAATAAATTCAACTGAGCTGAAATCATGCTACCCGTGTACTAGACATTCAGGTGGAAGCTGGGAAGTAGCAGAAAATGTCAATATATACACCACAAGAGAAACTGGCAGGCTCAGGGCTGAATGCATATAAAAAAGCACACCTTCTTCGATGCTACTTCCTGAGCACGTAGGATGTACATTCCAGAGTGTTTGCATAAAGGAGGCATCCACTTGTATGTTACCGTTTGATATTGAGAGATGCTGCAGCAGAAACAGAAATGAGACATCCTTTAAATCACCAGTCCAGTCCTGACAGAAGCAGCTCACCTAGAATTTCAAGGATTAAATTAAACAGCCTTACTGTCATCTAGCCCTTTCTACATAGCCTGTGGGAGATTTCTCTACCCGATCTAGAAGCAGCTTCAAAGTGGGACACTGTATTCTGGGACGAGGAAATATCCAGTTACAGATATGGAAGACAAATGTTGACTTTATCCCCTCAGCTGGGTCCAATTCAATACCAAGTCATAAAACGTCTATTCTTTGTAGGATAAGTGAACTCACAAATGGAAAAAATTACGCAGCATTTGGCCTAGGCAAAGTAAAATCTGCCCACAGGGTTGGTTCTACGAGAAACTCCTCCGACATTTCTCTGGTCGGCAGGCATTCCCGTCCCCACCCAAGGGCTTGATGTTGGTGGTACCTGCCTATTACCCATCCCCAGCTGCGGAATCTTACCTGCATCTTTGAACCTCTGCAACACTCCGTGGGCTAAAACATTTTAAATTCTCTTTCTTTCTCCAGCATAAGCTTATTTTCCTGTATTCTCTTTCTGGCTTGTTCTTCACTGGACAAGAGCTAAACAATGTGATAAATTCAGAATAATGGGAGCTAATGTGTAAATAGGGCTTGGGGCACTTTGGCACAGTTTGCTGGACACAGGACCACAATAAAGGATAACTAACTGTTAAATCCTAGGCACTGTGATCATGTGGCAGGGGAGAGAACTTAATCACCTCTCAAGTACAGTTGACCCTTCATTTATTTCAGCATATTATGGCGGTACAAATGTTTAGGTTATGTATATTGCCCTTGCCTCACCTGAGTCAGAGCTTCAAGCATGTCCATCCCCCAGGCAGTGCGCATTGCACCCGTTAGGTGTGCATATACCCAACCCCTCCTTCCCCCCACCTCTGCCCGACACCCAGTGAATGTTATTACTATACGTGCACTTAAGTGCTGATCAGTTAATACCAATTTGATGGTGAGTACATGTTACAGTTGACCCTTGAAGAGCAAGGCTGGGAACTGCCTCGGTCCACTTATGTGGATTTTCTTCCGCCTCTGCCACCCCTGAGACTGCAAGACCAACCTGTCTTTCTCCCCCTCCTCAACCTACTTAACATGAAGATGATGAGGATGAAGGAAGACCTTTATAATGATCCCCTTTCACTTCATAAGTAGTAAATACATGATTATTTTTTCTTCCCTCCAATTTTCTTCATGTTTTCTTTTCTCTATCTTACTTTATTATAATAATAGAGTACATGATACATGTAGCATACAAAATATGTATTAATAGACTATTTATATTACTGGTAGGGTGGGACAGTAGCCTTTCAACAGTAGGCTATTAGTAGTTAAGTTTTGGGGGAGTTAAAAGTTACATGTGGATTTTTGACTGTGTAGGGGGTTGGTCCCCCCTCACCCCCACATTGTTCAAGGGTCAACTGTACACTGTGTGAAAGCATCTTATTGTACCCAGCCTGCTGTAGCTCAGTTCTCCTTGGCCATCTATTCCTAAAGGAAAAAACTGTGAAAATGAAGGACTCCTGTGATAGGAGGTACTTACAAGGTATCTTTCAGAGGACACACTGACGAGGATGAGATCGTCGCCAATTCGAACTTTCTCTCCCTCAGACCTCTGTTTGGAAGCAGGATGTATAGTCCACCAACAGGCTTCTCCTACACAAAGGCTCCTCAAGTTAGTCATTGCTTCACAGAAGCCAATGTCCCTGATCCTGTCCCTTGTCCTCCTTCCTCCTGATGACAACCCCTCGTGCACACACATGCACACACGTACACACACAGGCATACACTAGACCTCAATTTCTATCTTATCACTATTCCAGATAGCTCCACATCTGCTCTTGACTCTATCATTTTCATTTTCCCTTGTGACAGAAAGACAGGGTTTGGGAAAGATTATTAGAGGCCAGAAATTTTAGAAGCCTTTGTGTATTTTTAATGCTATAGAAAAATGTTTTCTTTATGGTCTCTTCCAGATTTTTAAGAATTGATTTCATTGGTCTACTATATCTTTGCCCCACCCCACATGAAATTATACCAAAATATCAGTAAAGGGATTTTTTGAAGGCTTTAATATGCAAGGACTCAGACAACAGGTGAAAATTTGATAGCAAAGAAGGGAAATTGATATTTTGGGAAAAGGACAGCAGATGGATACTTTTAGCCAAGAAAAAATTAAAACCTAAGTCTTCGAGTAAGAAAATGGAGAAGAAATCCCTAATAAAAAATAGTGGTTCCTGCTATGGATTCTCCCCAGAAAGTCTCTGGAATTGGAGGTAACGGCTACTTGTGAAGGTAGAAGATGGGTTGAACATAGGAGCATGGGTGAATAATTAAATTTTACATCCCGATTAGTAAAACTCATGCCCCTTTCCCTCTGCTCTCATCCCCTCAGCTTCCAGAATGCCAGCTGCAAAGCTGAACCATGCTTCCTCCCCAGATTTGAGGATTACTTTTCAGGGAAGCCAAACTATCCAAGAAAAAAGATAATATGGTTTGGGGTCAACAGTGAGTGCCCAGTTCTTTGCCAGATTACCTAAAAGTGAGGCTTAGCGAATGATAAGCCACAGCTAGTCAGCTTTTCCTGCCTTTATCTGACATGAATGAAGACCAAGGATTACCCAACTCTGAGGAAAGACTCTAACATGAACAATAGGAACAAAACAAAAAGCGGGGGGGGGGGAAGAGACTTGGAGAAAAAGCTTATAAAGAATAAAAGAAAACTTTTAAAAATCTCATAATTAATTATCTCAGAGATAAGAAAAAAGTTAGCATTCATGAAACAGCTATAAAAGTATATCCATGAAAGGATTCCTTCAGAGAAAAAGAAAAATACTCCTTGATCCTGAAAAAAAGGGAAAGAAATAAGAGGGTTGTAGGATAAAGCTGAAAACAATCTTCCAGAGGGAAGAATGAAGAAAAACAGATTAGAAATAGGAATGAAAAGAGAATTAGAAAACCAATCTAGAGGAATTCCAGAAAGCAAGACCAGAGAGAAAAAGAAAGGAGAGGAAATTAACAAATAATATTAAAAGTTTCCCAAAGCTGAGAAACGAGCATTTTCCCGATTGAAAGGACCAACAGGGTCCCTACCGTGATGGAAAACAAAGACCCAAACTAAGGTCCATTCCTGGGAGACTTCAGAACAGAAAAGGATCCACGCCAAGACACGTCACTGCGGAATTTCAGACACCAGGGCAAAACAGGTGTTTAGTAGCTTCCAAAATATAAAAGCAGGTCACACACAAAGGATTTGGAATCAGAATGTAGACTTCTCAACAGCCAGATTGTAAGCTAGAAGTAAGCTTTCAGTAAGTTGAGAAAAAAAAAATCCGATGTAGAATTAAACTATCAATTACTTGTGAAGCTAGAATTAGGAAACTTTCAGACAAGATTTTACCTCTCATGCATCATTTCTGTAAAAGCTACTGGATAACTGTGTTCCACCAAAGTGAGGTGGTAAACCAAGAAGGTTAAAAAATCAAAAACAAAACAACGACAACAACAAAATGAGATCCAAGAAGCATGAAATCTCGTAGAGAGACAAAAGGAATTCCCTGGATGATGGTGGATATTCCCAAGAAGAGTGAAAAAATAGATAATGTGACTGAATCAAATCAGGGGAGATTTTCAGTTCTATAGGACAGTGTGGAAATGAACGAACGACTGAATCACAGAAAATTAAGCAAACGAATAAGACAATTATTAACTATTGGAAAACTCTAAAGTGATATAATAAATTACTTGGTCAGAGGATAATATGAAGCTCATTTGCAAATATAAAAGTTACAGTTATAGAAATATAAGTAGTTAATATTGATTTGGCAGTTAAATAAAAGTAGATGTAAATATATTGAGAAGACAGGGAAGAGTGGAGTACAGGTGCTAAATTTTTATTAGGACATCCGCAGATAATACCTAATCTGGAAAGAATAACAAAATAGCAAAGTATATATATAATCCATAAACAAGTGGTAAGCAATACTAAAAGAGCTAAAAGTAGATGCCTCAGAGAGGGAGGAATCCAGAGCAGCAAGGGCAGAAGACTGATGTTTTTAATAAGTTCAGGAGCACTATTTTTCTCTTTAAACTATGTATGGGTATTCCTTTGATTAAATTTTAAATTACATGACAAAAGAGGTTGACCTCTACATTTGAAGGGGAAAATGATGTGTCTTTTATGTACTCTGTGGACCACTGGAGGATATCTGGGCTGCAGGCGGTTCTGAAGAGGCACACATAGGAAAATTATGTTGTTTTCCTCCTGTCTCCTGTTCTCTGTAACCCAGGGACAGAGCCTCTCCCTGAGTCAATGGATGGACCAGTCCATGGCCCTAAAAGACATAATAGGGCTTTAAGTGTAGGTGTTTTAAATATTTCTCTCCTCCTAAGTCCAAATTCCAAAGCTATGTCGAAACCCGAAAAACAAAACAATAACAAAACTTTAAGAGGAGAATGGAATAAATTGAGTCACCCAAATCAAGGGTAAAATGATCATCAATTCTCTGTTAAGTCTAACTATTTCTGAGTGCATTGGAGAAAAAAAAATTCCAGAATTGTTCAAAAAACTTTCTCCTGACATTCTCCTACAGATTCAACCCAACTACTGAGCAGTTGATTGTTTACAACTCTGAAGAGGTTTCTGAGCCAAGAGTGCATTCATAGAATTATCCAGGCAGGAAACAGGATGCTATTTTCTGTTGCAGTCCATGTGAATCTCATTTCAAAGTGAGGAGGCGCACCCTGGTAATACTGAACCTTATCTGAGCTGGATGTGCGTTCTCCTTCTCCCTCACAACTAGCCTTCTTCAAGGGGAGTATGAAACGCCTGGGGATGAGGGAGGTGAAATAAAAGTACATTATTTTAGGCTCTAGGTTTTCAGGCCAGTCAACTTCTGATCAGTCAACTTGAACTTGGGTTGGCTCATGTGTTTGCCTGGTCTGTCAGTAGAATTCACACCACGTCTGCTTTTAGAAATTTAGAAAAAAGTGCTGAAAAGAGTAATAATATTCTCTGCTGTTATTTCCCTTTATTTTTGTTGGAGGCCCCGATAATTAAATAAATTCCCTGAACACTTCCTACCACTAGAAAGTGGTATTTCTCAATTTCTTCCTAACTCTCAAAAAGTATAAAGTGTTTTTATACTGATATAAATAGAAAGACCATGTATGACTTTTCTGATGACGTGCTCCAAGACTGACAGCCGGTTTATATTTAGAGGCCAACTTACATTCAGAGTGTGGCACACTTCACTCATTTTGTAATTTTCAGCAAAGGTTGATAATACCTTACAGGAAATTATATTTTAAGGATCACACTTAAGCTGAAAACAAAGAAACCTCTAATCAAATTCAAATATAATCTTATTCTAGGAAAAAAAAACCCATAATGGGCAGATGCCAATCCACTCTTTTGCCTGGTATGAAAATAATAAGAGGAAGAAGAGAGAAAAATGTTCTCCCCAGGCACTCTTAGGACACCATTGTGCAAGATGCAGAGACAGCAGGTACACATAGTTTGGACTTGCTTTTTTTCCTAGATCAGATAGAAAAAAAATCAGACAATTTGGATCCTTCCTTTATGAACAGACCCAATTTTAGAATAAAAAAAATAAATTTTTGTCCTTTTTTGGCTATTCAACATTGGATTCCTCTCTCCCTATTAAAGGGAAAAATGTCATGGTATTATAGACTAATGTTAATTAGACTCTTTCTACAGTGTGCCTTAGGAGGTTTTCTCTTCCCTGTTCTTTCTTTTTTCCTGCCCAAGTTCCAAGGCTGGGGCTCCAACTTTAGTGCAAGTTCTACTCAATATCTTTCCAGTAAATTCTCATTCTGCTTGAGTTAACCTGAATCAATTTCTGTTGTTTGTGACAAAAAATCTTGATTGGCACCTAGCCCAGCCTCTAAATGGAGCACAAATTTCACATGTAATGCCCTTGGCTGGTGGTCAGATTGTCCGTGAGTATTTCCAGCCACAGGGAGCACCCTCTATCTCAGGGCCAGCTGTTCCTCTGCTGGCTAATTGCAGATGTTACCAAGTGGTTTTCTCCTTTGAAGTGAAAGGTGTCTCCTTTGAACTTCTACCCACTGCTCTATTGGTCTTTGGAATAACCCACAGAAGGTCAGCACCTTCTTCAGGACCCACCTCTTGACTGTATTTTTGAATGCACTCAAAAAAAGAAAACAAAAATCCAGTGGTTCCCGAAAGATATGATGCATACCACTGGTGGTAGAAGGCAATTCAATTACATTGAATTATACAGTAAAAACTTTATTTTCTTTTTACTACCATTTTAAGCCTTCTGATTCTATCAGAGGAAAATTTTAAGTTTGGAACTAGTATATCATTAACACTTTTCTAATGTTTGTCAACATCTCAGTTATTCAACAGCATGGGTTTCTTTTCATTATATCTACTTCCATGGAAAGCAATGCCAGTTTTCTACTTTTAGCATTGGTATAAGTTCTGTCTGTAAAATTCTAAGTACAAAAGTAAGTAAATTTAAAGAAAAACAAAGCAAATGATATTAAAGGGGATACCCTAAATAGAAAAATCATGGTGGTGGATGTCATTGACTAATGTTTGGGAAACACTACTTTAGAAATAGCTTGTTCATTGCAGAATAAAATGAGACTACTCCTTTGATCTAGACACTATATTTCATTTCTTAAACTCTTAGTATGGTACCTGTATTTTTTTTTTTTTTTTAGCAGTTATTTAGTATCATCGTTTATTAGGAAGGACTTGTCTACTTACTTTCAGTACCAAATGCTAAAAAATAATTTTTCTTTGAGATTCTGGTGGGCTGTGGTTAAAGCATTATGTTCTCCTTCATTCTTAGTTCCAGTGTTTTCATCAGATTCTTTCTTTAGTTCGTTATTCTCCTCCCAAATGAGTAACACGTTAAGGGTCCTTCTCAAAAGCCCTTAGCCCTAGACTCCACTGAGCAGGAGATCTGAGAATGTGGACTTACCTGTGGCATGTTCCCGTAGACCTACATCGAAGGCAAGTTTATCTGTCTGGGATCTTGATGTAGTCAAACATGTTAGATACTGTGAGAGAAGAACAGATGCTGGTGAAGTCACACTCTTCCACTGGCTCTTGATACCTCACCACTAGTTGGTTTCCAGTTAATTTCAACAATGAGCTGCGCTGAAAAGAGCTCGTTTATCTTACTCATTACAAAGTTAATTGATACAATGGTTTAAGAAAATACTTTTATAATACACTTAAAACCTCAAAGATATTCTTTCTGATGACCCGGTGATTTAACTATAGAAGTATATGTTTTAGAAATGAATTTGAAATATTAAAGATGCCTTAGTTCAAAGATACTCTGAGAAACTTTTAAATTAGGAACAATATAAAGGGAACATAAATGACCCGTAATAATGGTAAGGCTAGATAAGCTTTGATATTTCTATTTTATGGAATATTATGTTATTAAGAGTATTTATCAAGATTGTATAATAGCATGGAACACTGTTTATAATACATTGAACTAAAAAGTAATATATAAAATAGTACATTTATACAGTTAGCATGTACACAAAAATGTAAATGCCTAGCAACTAGACTAAAAGGAATTACACCAAAATAACAGAAGTTAACTTTAGAAGAGGGGTGGGAGAGGACTTGGATGATTCCATCACTTCTATTTATTTTCCAGCTTTGAATTTTTCTATGAACTTTAAAATTTCTCAAAATAATGTTTATGGTTATTTTCCTGATTATAAAAACACATGTGCAGGTACTTATGAATGATTTTTAAAATAACTTATTAAAGGAAAGAACCCCACACCCTGTTCCCTGTCTCCTTTACTGATGGGCACAGACACACATCTTAGACTGGGAGACAGGTGAACCCTTGGGATGTGCCTTCTTAGCTGTATTTCTAGTTTTCTGCAAGAGGAAGATGGAAAATCATTGCATTACACAAAGTCATATCTCATAGGCTTTATTTTCAGAGTTATTCTTATAAGGAACTAGCCTGTGTAGAGTTTATGTTAACTGTGAGTGGGATTTTTTTTTTTAAAAGAAAAGGTAAACTTAATTATAAATAATATAATGTAAGCGTTCATATTTCTACCAGGATGTTAGCCTGAATTTCAAAGTCCTGAGGTTCTGTTTATTCTATTTAGGTAGGTAAAGAGAAGTGTTAGCGTTTTATTTATCCTGTGGATAAACACAAGATTCTGAAACCGCCACTTCTCAACTCCAGAGACTTTCAGGGTATAAAGTTTCCCCACTCTTAAACATGTCCCCATCTCCTACTCAGATACACTTGCATTTGGTCATTGTTTGTCCTCTGTCTCTGCCATGAAGGACTCCAACAGATGAACGATCAGGCTGAAAAGGTCAGCTTCTTACCAGTGCTCAGGAAAAAAAAAAACACTGCAATAAATAAATTATTTAAGAGGCAGCTGTTGCTCTTGCTGCCAATTTGATAGTTCAAGCTTTGGGATGAACTTTGCATCCTGCTGCAGGTGTAGATGTATGAAAATAAAGTCTTGAATTAATGTATCAGTTTTCCACTAGGGCTAGAGAAAGACAAATCTTCCTTACACTGACAGACTAGCAATCGAGAGTAAACACTATTGGAGTTGGCACATACTAGTTTTGATTGAGATCATAATATTATTCTTAATACTTACTGCAAAAGGTCTGCAATACCTGTAGTTTACAAATTACATTTATCTAAAACATGCAAATTTTTTCAAGTTACACTGGGTTATCACCATTCTGATTAATTCTGGTTCTGGATCCCTGATTAGTAATAGCGGATCAGCTTTCTGCGACTACCTTGCCCCTATCTTCCTCCTTCCTCTAGATTAACACAATGCCTCCAAATTTTTCCAGAACTGAAGGCAATGGGTATCATTCAATTTCTTTTAGGTCGGTAAAAGAGTAGAAATGTCACAAACATCCCATTTTATTTGTTTTTCTTTTATCCTGGTTCTCCTTATATACTAAAGAGATCAGTTGCTCCTTCAGTCATTTTATCATTCATCCATCCAACAAATATTTATTGAGAATCTAGTATATCCAGGCACTGCACTTTAAGTTTAGCGAAATAAAATAAAAAAGACGTGGTTCTCTTCCTCCTGAAGTTGGAGACAGGGCGTCAGACATTAAGCAAATACAAATAAATAATTGCAACTTGAGGTAGGTGATGTGAAGGAAATGCTAAGACGATAATGTGCTATAATTAGTTATATTCCAATTGCTCCTGCTGTTTCCTTGGAGTTGCTGGTTTCCTGTACTCGCCGCCCCCACCCCTTCATTCTTCCCTCCTCCTTCAATGGTGAAAGTAGACCTCAGATGTGCTTACCATTCCGCTGAAAGAGTGCCTCAGGAGAATTGCATGTCCATAGAGCAGGGTCCTGTGGCCACCACCTTGTGCTGCCTGTGGGGATGACAGGAAAGATGTCAGCATCCGCCAGCTCTGGCTTCTCTCAGAGCAAAGCAGCACGAGAATTCTGGGAGACAGACTACCAGGAAGAGACCCATCGCAAAGCTCCCAAGGAATCCATTCTAGAAGCAAGTGGCCGGCTGGCGGGCGGAGGGAGACTGGTGATCACAGCCATGCAACATCCTTGGGAGAGGGTGCGTGGGGCCAAATCTCTCCTCGGAAATGGTGCTGCCCAGGATCACAGAAACCCGGAGCTGCTCTACCAGGCAAGCATGAAAATGAGACGGGTACCGCTTACCTTCCTTTGAAACTTCTCAGAAGCGTTCAGAGAGAGAGAAACAAACGTGATGTAGCTACGGCCTAGCGACAGAAAGGCAATGCGGTGGGCAGACATGCGGTCACGTTCTGTGCCGTGCCATCTTTCCCTCCAAGGCGCGTGTGCCTTCTGCCCACTCCCTTACCCAGGTCCTTTCTACACAGATCTCACCAAGGAGAGCAAGCTCTGAAACCCAGGGCTTTAAAAGGGCAACCAGTTACACAGAAATGGATCCTTCAGTCAAAAGACCATCTGGTACCTTTTCTGCCTCACCGGCAGCTCTCTGGCTATTTGCTCAGGGGCTGCCCAACAGTGGCAGAGGGAGGCGTGAGAGGAAGACAAGGCCCAACATGAAGCTCTTTGTGTCTTTTCTTATTTCTTCCCTTCATCGGATTCACATATTACTACACTGAACTGAAGAGGACAAGACAGTGCTATAATTCATTCTAGTCAGAGGTGAGTAGGTAGCGTGGAAAAAATCTACAGACCATTCTAGAATTTTTTGGCATCAACATTTCCAACCTCTTACCAAGTCTCTCCTCATCATGCTAACCTATTCTCAGAGACAGTCAGCATTTTTTGATCACACCCTCCTTTCAGGAGAAGATATTTGAGCATAGGCCCTCCCTCCCCAAACACGCATAAAAAGAGAATCCAAAGCTTGAGACAAAAATTAATTATGAAGAGAAATTCTAGCATTTTCCTTCCAGACAGCCTGTTTTATTCAGAGCTACAGACCAGCAGACAAAGGGCTGGCTTGGGGTTCTGCCCGTCTCCACCTCCAACTCGAGCAGCGAGCGGTGTGGAGGAAGGGGAGATCAGGCTTTGAGTAATGTTATTTTGACTCTATTTGGATTAACAGAACCACTCTGTCAAAGAGATGGTTTTTCATGTCATACAACAAGCCTAACGAAAAGAAAAAAGATAAAAGTGGTATCGTGTTCAAAAATAGCTGGTAACTAAATATAAATGCGACTGTGCTTTTTTCCCACAGCTATAGAGATATTTAAGTATTCTCCAGGCTTTGATACTACACAGGAATTACAATGCTCTTCACAATAGTTCCAAATTTCTTGAAACAATTTGCACTAACTTTAGTTTCTGTATTTACAAATGTGTCAACAGCTTACGTTAAAATTAGACATACTAAATAATTTTCACATCTTGTCAGTATGACCAAAATTGGCCCTATCCACTTGTGTTATTACAAGTTGATTGATGGTTCCCAATGGCTTACATTGTGGGCATATGCTCCCAAACCAGTCCTACGTCTCACAGTGAACTGCTAAATCATATTTCCTACTGTTAACCATGGGTCACACCTTCCTCCAATTCTTCTTTGTTCCTATCAACTCTGTAATGATAAGTAGCAAAGAGTCAAAAGTTGCTGACCCCAAGAAGTGGCATGGAGCAGCTTGTGCTCCTCTTCTCTGACACTACTAGAAACACCTCTGGACCCTAACGTCCCTTACTGATGTCCCAACAGAAAAGCAGAGTGACTAAAGTACCCCCCAAGGACCAAATGGGAAGTCACTGTGCAGAACCCCAGAGCCTTCCCCTCCGAAATCCTCCCTTCTCCGAGGCGGTGGTTCTTAGAGGCCGGTGTACATCAGCATCGCCCAGACTCCACTCCACACTGTCTGCTTCAGTTGGCCTGTTGTGTGGCCTGAGAATCTGCCTTTCTAACAGGTTCCTGGTGACACTGATGCTGCTGGTGCAGGGCCCATGTTTTGAGAATCACTGCTTCAAGAGATTAAGTCCAGTGCTGGAAGAGCACAGCAGCTTTTCCTGCAGAAACTTTGATAATTAGCATCATGGTGATTGTCACCCTTGGGCGCACACCATGTATCAAGTGCTTTATGTATCGCCAGTTCATTCTCAGCAACTTTTCAAGGTAGGAATGATGTCCCTCATTTTGTATGCAAGGAGTATGATGCTCAAAGAAGGTAACCATAGTGCCTTATGTCTCACAGCTGCTATGGTGGTGGTGGGATTTGAACTCAGGGTTAATGTAAGAACCTGAGATCATTTGGCTCTACTTTTTATAGTATGCTCATTTGATTGCTCTATGCAAAACCCATGTACAAAGTGCCAATAAGAATAGGCTAGGAAGATACCTCCTCAGCTGCCTCACGGAGGTGAACTGGTATAGCTGGGACTTAATGAGCTCTGAGCATATGGCAGGCACAGAGCTGTGCCAAGTGTTACACATGAATCATGTTATCTTCTTAGCGCTGCAAAATGACTATAGTCATCAACCTCATTTCACAGTTGTACAAGCTGCTCCATTTTACAGTTGTACTAACTGAGGCTTAAAGTGATTAACTTGCTCAAAATCATACAGGTTCCAAATTCAGAGCCAGTATTTAATGACGACAAGGGCACTTAACTACAGCTATACTGTCTTTCTGTAGTGGGGAAGGTAAGATTTGTGAATAAAAATCATGCTACAAATGGAAACGGCATGCCCATTAGAGAGGCGAAGACAGAGCGTTGGCATAGACTAGGAGGGTGGAGAGGGTGTCGCAGAAGAACTTTATTGAAAAGCGGGATCACAGCATGCTGGTAGGACTGTTGAAATGACTGCACAGTGAGAAAGAGGAACACACTGGGTTGAAGGCCCGGAAGGGGAAAGAACAAAGCACACGTGGGGACTCAGCCCAGCCGCTGGCCAGTGCCAGGTGGGTGAACGGAACAGCCAGAAACACGTTAGGACGCACGCGAGGGGTGGTCAGATCACGGAGGGCTAAGACTGACTGAGTCAGTGAGTGGACTCTGTTCCATGGCCAGGGGACACTGGAGTAGGTTTTTGAAAGGAGAGTGTAACAATCAAAGCTGGACTTTGGAAGGGACCCTGACTGCAAAATGCTGGAACAAACGGAGGGGTGAATGAAGCCCTAGCGGCAGAAAAGCTCCTTCTCTCGTTTCCATGAAACAGTAGGAGGGGTGGGCAAACCAGACCTCCCGGAGTCATCCTTCACTCCTTTCTCCTCCTTACACCCCACAGTCGGTCCAAAGCACCTTTCAATGCTGCCTTCAAAATATTCTATCTCCCTCCGCAGCACCCTGCTGCTGCCCATCTGGTCCCCCCTGCCGTGGGTGGCACCACATGCGGCCTCCTAGGGCCTTAAGTGCAGTCTTTCGACTGAATCCAAATTTTACAGAACAAATCCTTTAATTAAAAGGGATGAAGCAGAGAAAGATGAAGCTTTTCTTGCCTCCCTTGGTGCTTAAGAAAGAACAATCTTAAAATCAGAAGGCCCCAGGTTCCCCACCTGAGTTGTCGGTGCCTCCTAACTGCTCCCGGCTCTGCCCCTCTCCTTTCAGCCTGAGCTAACAGGGCAGCCACAGCCATCCTTTAAAAACTGCAGGTCACAATCACATGACTTTCATCCTCAACCTCCCTCAACCCCCGGTGGCTTCTTATCATACTTAGAGCACAAGTATAAAGCCTTCACTGTGGCCCCTAAGGCATCAGGAGTTGACAAATTTTCTCTGAAAAAGGCCAGATAGCAAATATTTTGGGCTTTGTGGGCCACATATAATCACTGTCATATAGTCCTTTCTCTTTTTTAAAAATTTTAAACATTCTTATCAAAATTTAAAAACCAATTTTAGAGGATTATACACAAACGGGCTGCAGGGTGGATTTGGCCTGCTGGCTGTAACCTCCCAATTCCTGCCCTACACTGACCTGGTTCCCTCGCACTCTGTAACTTCGCCCACCAGCAGCATGCTCCCCATCACTCCATGTGCTCCAGCCATCCTGGCTTTCTTCTAATTTTCAGATAAGCATGCTCCTGCCATAGGGCCTTTGCACATGTGCTTCCCTCTGCCTGGAATGTTCCTCCTCCAATTTCTTATGGTTAATTTCTACCCTTTATGCAGTTCTGGGCTCAGAACTCGTTACAGAAGCCTTCTACAAGAACAGTCACCCTTACTCTATCACATTTTTTATCATCTCTCATGGCATTTATTATTTTTGATATGTATCTACCTTCTCTCTCCCTAGAATATAAGCTCCATGAGTATGTTGTGTCCAGGCACATCATTTTTATCAGTGCCTGGCACATAGGAGGCAGACGTTAAATATTTCCTGAGTCAAAGAATAAAAAGGAGGTGGTCCTTTTGTCTCCATTTTACAGATAGGAAAAAAAGAGGCATAGAGAATTCAAGAAACATTCCCATCGTTGGTTTATAAGCAGTGGATGTGGGTTTGAACTTGAGTCTACTCTTTTCACTATTTGAAACTAATTCTAGAATAACATTCCAGGAAAGATGTGATATGCTACATAGAAGATCGTTCCTGAGGGGGGTCCAGACTTCGAGACTCTGAGACTTTATCAGGGTAGCAGTCCCATCCCTGCTACGAGCGACCTTGGCTGTTACCATTGGCAGAAGATTTAGTTTCACCTCATGGGATGGGGGGGATGGGTCAGGAAAAAGCTTGTAAAAGGTTCTGAGGCCATGTCCAGAGGAAAACTGTCCCACTAGATCATTAATTCAATCATCTCGCCTATAATTTCAAGACTAATTTTCATCACTGACATTTCTTTTGGTAGTTCCCAGAGGACACAGCCTCCTAGTAAGATAAACCAGATATAGCAACTAGAGGGGAGGGGGACGGTGCTTCTATCCAGCCACACACAAATGTTTCAAGACTGTTCGATCTCTAAAC